TCAGGGGGCAGCAGGGCAGGCACTACGAGGAGAGGCTACAGGACCTGAACCTGTTCAGCCTCCACAAGAGAAGGCTGAGGGGGGATCTAGTGGCTGTTTACAAACTGGTCAGGGGGGACCAGCAGGCATTGGGGGAGTCCCTGTTCCCCCAAGCACTACCAGGAGTGACAAGAAATAACAGTCACAAGCTGGCAGAGGGTAAATTCAGACTAGAGATCAGGAGGCGCTACTTTATTGTCAGGATGGCTAGGATCTGGAACCTACTTCCAAGAGAAGTGGTGCTGGCTCCTACCATGGGCATCTTTTAAGAGGAGGCTGGATGAACACCTGGCTGGGGTCATTTGACCCCAGTACTGTTTCCTGCCATGGCAAAGGTTGGACTTGATGATCTGCTCAGGTCCCTTCCGACCCTACCAACTATGAAACTATACAACTGTGTTGACCTATACACTAAAATATGGTAATCTTCTAAGAAGAACAGTGTATGAAGTGCCAGTGGTTTGTACTGTAATCTCCAGAAATAATCTCTTTGAAGAGTCTTTTTGGTTACCTATAACTTGGAATGAATAAAGAATCAAATGGTGTTAGGTAGGGCAATGAGCTGGGGAAATAACTGCTATGGAGTGCAGCAGAACATAGTAGATGCACAAAGATAAGTGTATGTGAACAATGGAACAGCCTGAAATGGAGCTATGTCACTCAAAATAAAGACCCCTTTAACTTTCACTGCTTTGTGATAAAAGTCACTGTTATGACTGGCAGCAGGGGATGGTTCTTCTCACCAACAGTGTTAAATTAAAAACATATGCAAGGAGAGGAATCTGTCCTAGCTGAATTTGTTGCCGGGCTTTTTTCAGCAATTTATTGAACATCAAACTGCTTTTCACTAGACATGGCATAAAGAGGCAATATTATAACATACAGCCCTAATGTACAACCCCTGCATGTCACTGAAACATGTAAGCTGAAGTTTTTATGGTAGTCCTAACATAAGAGGTGCTGTATGATTATACATAATACAACCTCATGCATACCTATATTACAGGGATCCCAAGACTGCTATTAAGAAATAACCTCACCCACTCATTCCCATGCTGCACACACTACATGTTGTAAGAATGTTGTGTGCATTTGTTTTGCATGTGCTTAGGCTTTTTCTCACGTTCTCTGTTCTGAGTGAGCATTCAGAATAGCATTACAGACAATTGAACATTTTTTGAGCACTCCTTGTGTACAGAGAAAGGGTAAATGGGCAGGGCTTTTTTTTTGCAGTGGCAGTTTCACGACCACTGTGGAGATGGCACAGGCATATCATAAGCCACTTAGGTCTAAATCCTCCTGTGAACTTTGCTGATGCGCAGACTGCCATAGGCAAAAATGAACAGACATGCACCCATCTTCCAGACAGAATTTCATTTTGCACTCAAATCATAGAATCATAGGGCTGGAAGGGACCCCGAATGATCATGGGGTCCAGCCCCCTGCATGAGCAGGTACAGATTTAAAAACATTCAAGGAGCAATAGTTTACATACAATATACCCATCCATCCATCCTTACCCTACTGTCCGCAGTTACCTTTTCTAATTCTTGATCTTGACGATTCATCAGAGTTTTCCAGTGTTCATACAGTTCAACATCTTTGTTTTGGATGTCCTTCAAAGTCCCTTCTCTGAGCACCATACCATCCTTCATGGCTATGATCTAGGAAGGAGAACAGACAATAGAGCTACTCAGCAGCGTATCATAATCACTGTATTTGGGGTTCTGCAACATATCTTTACATCAGCTGGGTCAAGCTTGCCACTGGGCTAATTTCTGTGTTGACACTATTTTAGGGCTGTACAACAGCTGGGGGCTGCCCACCCCACAGGCCACACCAACATGGACCACAGGCCCCCAAGTCACATAGTACTTGGATGTCCAACAGCAACAGGCGGCTCCTGCTCCCCTGCTCCAGCATGCACTTGAAACCCCCTTCATCTTACCACAGTGAATGTCTGTGCAGGTGCCTCCCAAGTTGCAATGACCCTGTATGCATGCCCCCTCAGTGCTATACTCCATGACCCCAGTCTTACCCTGAGCTCATACCACCCCTTGAGGGAGGCACAGAACACAGAAATTGGTGGAAGGACTGGGAGCTCAGAGACTCTAGCTGCTATGCAGCCAGAGCAACAGGGAGAGTGGCAGGGGCTTGAGGACTTTAACTTAATCTTTCATGGGCAGCATGTGGCCTGTGGGTCACCAGTTGGACTGCTCTGTCCTATTCAAATTCAGCATATGTTATTCAATTTCTTTTTAATGTTACTTTGGCAATACACATTTTACAATGAAACTATTACAGGCAATAATAATTTGTAGTCATACTTGTTCTGTTCTTCCAAGGACACAATAGATAAGGATGACAATTATAATTAATTTACATTTATATAATACCTTTTAATCGAAGATTCTAAGCACCTCCAATCAGTTTACAAGTTATGGATTGATTCCTTACCCCATGAAATGGAAGTAAAGTATAAGCAAAATACTCCTATTTTGGTAACCCATGTCACCTACCTTTGTGGACAGATTAGGTGGAAGGTAGAATCTGGGGAAGTGCACACTACAAGGACAGGTTCCTGGCAGGACTGTCATTTAAAAACTAGGGGCCTTTGTACACACAACAAAATTCACCTTTAAAGTGGCTTAAATGCCCTTTTGCATGGCTTTAATGGTGTTATTTACACACATGGCAGAATATTCCACTTAAATGGTGTTGCTATTTACATGCTCAGTGGCGTATTCTGCTTAAATGACTTAGTAATTTAGCAAGGTAAAACCCCTCCGAGGCGTTTTAGTTTGCTAGCTAACAAAGTGCAATGGTGCATGGGGCACTGGAAGTCGACGTGCTTGGGGAAGCTTGGGCTTGGCGGACTTCCAGTGCCCCATGCATTATCCCTACCACCTTCTCTTGCTGCCAGCACATCCATCCACCCTCCTGCCACCTTGCCACAGGGGCAAGCCAACTGTTCCTGGGCAGTCCCAGGCAATGGGGATGGTGCACAGAGTGCTGGAGCTTACCTGCCTCTCTCGCAGTTAGGGGATGAGCTGCCGGCAGGCCGAGCAGTCCCTGAGCTGCGGGGGACCCCAGTGCTTCCCTTTGTGGTGGCAGTGCCCCCCAGGTGTCACCTGCCCACTGGCACCTTGCCCGGGTGGTCCTGGGGGGCGCCACCACTGTGGAGGGAGGCATTGGGCCCCATGCAGCTCAGGCAGGTAGGCAGACTCTGGGGGGAGAAAAAAAATCAGGCTCCTTGCCACTTTCCTCCCCCCTCACTCAAGCCTTCCTGCACGAGCTGCCACGGTCTCACAGCCCCTGACCTGCACAGGGCCCAGTGCTTTCCTGCATGGTGGCGGCGCCCCCTGGGACCACCCAGGCTGGGCGCTAGCGGGCAGATGCCAGCCCTGGGAGCCACTGCCATTGTGGAGTGGCACCGGGCCCCGTGCAGCTCAGGAACCTCTCAGCCTGCTAGCAGCTTACCCTCCCCAACACCGCAGGAGAGGCAGGTAGGCTGGAGGCATAAAAAAAAGAGGATCAGGCCCCCTCACCTTTGTACACATGATGGGGATTTAATTCTCCCTAAACTGAAATGGTGAAAACCGTGGGCTTTAAAAACTCACCATTTCAATTTAGGGAGAATTAAACCCCCACTGCATGTACAAGCACCCTAGGATCTGCCTTCCATTTTATACCTACCAGGGCCCATGGAAGTTATTGCAACCCTGATGATTTGAAAAAATGACAAGTAGGAAACCAGAATGAAGACAGCTCCCCTCTTACCCAGTCAGCATGTGGCAGATATTGTAATTTGTGCGTCACCAGAACAAGTGTTCTTTTGTCTTCTTGGAGGAATTTCAAGATACCTTCCTGCATCAAATGATCACTTAAGTGAATGTCCAGTGCAGAGAAGGGGTCATCCTGTGAACAAATAAAAAAAAATAGGAGCAGAGGGTTATGAACTAGCATTTGCTTGCTTATTTTTTTAAATACCTGACCCAATGTAAAAGAGTCAACAGCTCTTACTGAAGTGCCATCCATCTTACTAATTTACATGTGTTAGTTACGGGTAAACTAAGAAACAATAAGATAAAAGCTATTGCTTTTGGACCTGTGGAATTAACTCAGATTTCCCTTATGATTTTTTTATGTTTTGCTTTTGATTCATAAGTCAGTTGAGCACTAGTCTCAGATGGACAGACATAGAAACTACGGGTGTGCGAAGCTTCGGTTGCCGATTCAATTTGGAGAAGATTCGGCCTGATTCAGAGGCCAAATCACCAAAACCAAACTGAATTGGGAGACCAAAAAAACCCTCTGAATCAATTTGGAAAAGATTCAGAAAAAGATTTGGAGATTCAGAAGATAGTTTTTTTGGGGAACAGAAACCGAGAAGAGGGAGGGGGATCGGGAGGGGAAAGACTGACATCTGTAGCTGGCCAGTGACTGTGATCTTTCCCTGAGTTCCCTTCCAATCACAGTGCTCTGGGGGAAGGACACAGAAACAGCACATAAGCCTCTATCTGCAGCTTTTCTGTCCCTTTGTGATCTGTCTCTGCCTGAGCAACAGGAGATCCCCCTGTTACAGGCTATCATCCCTGCTGGTTTCACCCTGCAGTGCTTTAACGCACACACAAAGTCACACATCACGAGTTTTCCTTGTCAGCAACTTGAGGTGCAGTTTCCCAGAAACCCCTTCACCTATCTCCTTGAAACTTGACAGGCCTCATGCCCTCAGAAGGGGCTACCATCCCTGCTGTTTTCATCCAAATCTGCCTCAACACACACAACACGAGTTTTGCTTTCAGCAGTTTGAGGTGCAGTTTCCCAGAAACCCCTGCACCTATCTCCTTGAAACTTACTATGCATCATTCCCTAAGAAGGAACTATTGTCCCTGCTGTTTTCATCCAAATCTGCCAAAATATGATAAAGTTATAGGTATTTTAGTGATTTCCCATTATAGACTATGGCTGAATCTCCGAATCAGCACCAACCCTTCTGAGGCCAATTTGGCCAAATCAGTTCGGGACAATCCAAATCTCAGAATCAAACCATTGACCCCCACATTGGCCAACTCTGAATCAAATACTTCCCTATTCACACAGGCCTAACAGAAACAAGCGAAGGACTGGAACTGTAAATCGCTTACCCATATCTGGGTAAGACTCAGGGCTAATCTAAATAAGTATCTGATGTCATCTGTTTTCTACATAACACATCCAGCAAAGTCTGTACCAATGGAAGCTTCCAGACCTACTAATATTGTGATTTTACTGAAAGGAAAGAATTATAAAGGTGAGGGACTAATTCAGATTTACAACAGAATCTCTTATCACAGATCTCAGTAGATACTTTATTCACCGCATATCTTACAGTAAAATAATTGAGGGTATTTTTATTTTAACACATCTTCTAAGAGTCCATCAGTTTATTTTGCATGGAAATCAAGCAGCCCTCATACAGATGATGACTTTCACAATGTGAATTGAATTTGGAGTAGTGAGACAGAAGTGAAAAGCTGCACATCTTTTTGCTAAATACTCAATCTATTCATTCCCTGCAGTAGGCTAAATTTATGTCCATACGCTTTAGGATGCTCCTTTAATTTCACTGGGATAAAACAGTTCAGTAGGACACTACTCAGTGCAAGGAAGAATATCTTAATCTGTTCCAAACATTTGAAACTGAGATCCATAAGAGGCCTCTCCTTTGTAAAACTCCTTCTATGTTCTGGTACTTTCTCTGATCATTGCTCATTTGTTCTCTTTAATACTTGTGCATTCTGGATTGAAAAGTAGATTGTCAACTGAATACAGGTTCTTGTAGGAAATCTAATAATAAGGGACAATCATTTTGTTACTGAGTTTCCATATGTTATGTATTAAAAAATAAAAACAACTTACCAAGAAAACAATGTTGGTATTTTGATAGAGTGCTCGAGCTACACAGATTCTTTGCCGTTGGCCTCCACTTAAGTTAATGCCCTAATGAATAAAACAGATCATAAATACAAATCATTTGAATAAACAGAATGAATTGTGCATGGCATATGTATTGCCATTTTTAAAACCACCCAAAGGAATATCCCAATAAATATTCAAAGCAAGCACTGATAAAATGCTAGTCCTGTGGGTGAACAAAGTCACTGTATTATACCCTAAGAAAGAAACCTTAATTATTAATCCAATTTTGCATAAACTAATTATGAATATCCAGGAAATTATAAGTTCTTCTCCTGATACACTAGACCTTTCTTAGACAGTATAGTTCAAATGCTGCTGACATAAACTATGACAGCAAAATGTGTACAACTGTTATCAAAGTAGTCTTTCATATAGAAAGGGGTGACCTAAAAAATAACAAATGTAGAAGATTTAAAAAAATTAATTTAAAATAGAAACACTCCTATGATTCAATTTTAAGGTATTTTATAGGGAAACATTTCCCCATTATTTTAATAATACGTAAACTTACAGTGTTACTAAAAATACTGCAAAATGTTATTGCAACTCATATGGACATCCATAAACTAGGTTAAATGTCTGTCCAAAACCCTAATAGCAGAGAAGCCACAGAAGCACAGAACTGAATACTGGCTACTGCCTGTGTTTTTTGCAGTGTCCCCAGATCGAACTCTGTGGACATGTTCCCATGAGAGGGAATGTGCATTTTCCCAGGGACAAACATGTGCCACAGCTAGCTGTCCCTGGGGAATGCCCCTGCATGCATGCTTTGGTATGCAGCAAGTTACCTCAGATGGGGTAGGGGAGGCTGGGGCCAGCACCTGGGCTGGCCCCAGCAGCCTTACCTTGGGCCCTGGGAGCAACCCAAGGCTGCAGCAGTGGCGATCCAAGCATGTGGAGCTTGGCTAGCACTGGAGGGTGGTTCTGGTTGGTCAGGCTCCAGTTTTGGGAAGTACACACTACTTCCATGTGCACCACCCACCTTTTTCTGTCTTGTTCTTTTCTGACAGCAGGATCCCATTGTGTCAAAAAAACCTGCTGCACTGCTAATTAGTAGTGCAGTGAATGCATGCATGTGCTGCACATGTGGTTTGCGGTGTTGCAGATGGGTTTGCAGATACCCAAGCAAGCTAGTTTAAACCTGGCACAGGTATATTCTAACAAGCTGCAATCACACCTTCAGATTTTAGTGAAAATATACTGATGAGAGTTTAGAAGTAAAACTCCTCAGGTTTGAGGTCAGTGCTATAGCTCTTTACTTTTGTCTATGCCACTAAGTAAATATAGACACAGGGCTCAATTCTTATTTGCACCAAGATCACCTTTGTCCATTCTAGTAGTGTCAGAGGGTTATATTTACACCCATTTTAAAACCTCTTTACTCTGCCAGAGTGATGTAAAGTGCCTTCATTGTAAATGAGAATCAGGTGTACAGCTTACAGTGAACATAGTGGAATTACTGCAGGGATAAATGTCTTCATTGTTTTTAGTAAGTCTGTGCATTATTAGTGTCCTAACTGGCTTAATTTTCCCTGCTGCATGATAAAAAGGAATGCAGTAATTCCATGGTACTTTACAGAAAAATTTAATGCACAGGGATGGATTCAGATCTCAGCAGCCAAGAGAATTATGCACATTTGCATGCAAGTAACTACATGATTTTAGACCAAGGTCTCCGCTTTGGTGATCACGAGAGGACTGACTAGTATCATAAAAAGTGGAATTAGTAGGTTGCTAAATATCATGAGTACTGATGAAAATACTAATAAATGCAGAATAACTATAACAATCACTACAGAAATAAAACTACTACTAACATTTACCAGGCTTTGCAGCCCAGTGCAAACCAGAAATGTGACATTAAAGAGTGCCTTCTTATTACATAGACCAAACTGTCATAAAAACTTTCTTTACCCTTTCTCCAATTTCTGTCTGATCACCAAATGGTAACAAGTCAATGTCAGGTTGTAGAGAGCAGGCATCTGTAACAGTTTTGTATCTGTAAAAAGAATGTCAGCTCAAGACTATTATTAATTATAGAAGGTAACCAGTCAAGAAAACAAAAACATTCACTCAAGATTCAAACTGACTCTCTTATAGAGGTTCAAAAGAATTTGGATAACTTTAAAATGATTTTTGTGAGGACTGTACAAAACAGTATCTTTATTAGTGTTATTTTTTTACTGGACCTATTTTCTTGTGATCTAAAAACTACCATTAGTGGGTGTGTCTACATGATCTGTGTGGTAGATTAATCTACTGCACAGTAAAGCAACACCATTTACATGAGTGCATCATTTACCACACAGTAAATCAGTCTACTGTGCAATTAGCTACCTAAACTAACTGCAGAGTAGCGCATGTGTAAATGCCAAGCAGCGTTGGGACACAGTAGCTCTCTGCCTCCCCCAAGTCCTGGTGCTGTTCAGCTCCCAGCCAGAGCAGCCCCACAAAGGGTTTCCCCATGAAGACTGGAGCTGGCTGGGAGCTGTCCCACTTTTTTGGCAGCTCCCAGCCACCTCTAGGATGCTTGTGGAAACCCCTGACCAGCCTAGAGCTGGCTGGGAGCTGCTCAAGAAATGGGACAGCTCCCAGCCAGCCCCTGGATGCACTGGGAAGCCCTGCTAGTAGGCGTGTGCGAAACAGGCCGTATTCAATTCGAATTTGGATTTGGCCTGAATCGGGGACAGTGATTCATTTAATTGATTTGGATCACTGTTCCTGATTCCATTTGGCCAAATCTGAACCTGAAGATTCGATGCTGATTTGGAGAATCGGTGATTTGGTCACAGACACAGCTTTAAATGTTTTTTCTACATACCTCAAGGTACCAGGCACAGCTCATGAATGCTGCGATGGTGGGACAGATGAAGCGTCCCACAGGAGCGTGGGGGCTCCCCTGCATGCTTGGCAGCAAACCCGGAAGTGGACTGGAATTACTTCTGGTCCACTTCTGGGTCTGCTGTCGAGCACACAGGGCCCCCTCCTATGCCCCTCTGGCTCATCAATCAGCCGTGGGGGGACCCTGGGTGCCCCCCCCCAGACCCAGAAGGCACCAGTCGCTAAGGCAGGGGGCCCCACAGTGCGCTCCCCTGTGGACCCCAAAGTGGATAGGAAGTGCTTGTGGTCCACTTCTGGGCCAGCTGCTGAGCATGCTGGGGAGCCCCCTGTGCTCCTGTGGGACGCTCCATCCTCCCCACCATCTCAGCATTCACGAACCGCCTGCTACCTTGAGATATGTAGAAAACAACATTTCAAGCTGTGTCTATATCAAAATTGCCGAATCTTTCCAAATCTCTCCAAATCGATTTGGAGGGTTCCAATTCGATTCGGAGAGATTAAAGGGTCTCCTGATTCGATTCAGATTTGGAGATTCAGCCACCGAATCAGGATGAATCTCCACCAAATCGAATCAGGGACAGAAGCTTCGCACAGCCCTACCCAGTGAGCACAGGACTTATCCCCATATGCAGGGGGCCAAGAGAGCTCTGCAGTGGCAGCTATCTCCCAGTCCCCTGCACATCAGGACCCCTCCCAATGTGCACGGGGCCAGGAGGCATCTGCCGCCACAGCCAACAGAGCTCTTCTGGTCCCATGTGCATGGGGACCGTCCCATGCTCCCTGCCAGCCCCCAGGCTAGCACCTCAGGGGATCCTGAACCTCCATTAGTTGCTGCAGGGGGCCAGAGCAAGGTAGGAGTAGCCTTGTACTAGGCTGCTCCTGTTGGGAGCAGATTTGCACCCAACAGGGAGCATGTATAGATACACTCCCAGGGGAAGGCTTACTGCACAGTATTTTACTGCACAGTAAGCCTTTATAGCATTAATAGCACACGTAGACACACCCGGCGAGTACCATTTCTGCACCATTTAAATGAAGAGACCATCCAACCCTTTTAATTAATGCCTTGAGTAAATGTGCAGTAAGTTTCCATAATCATAATCCATAATCACTATTTCCCCTCTGGGTGCTTCTTCACTTGCTTTCACTTAGAAGTGCAAATAGCTAAATCAGGCAAAATCATTATCTGATCTGAATGGAAACAGGAAATCTTATAAGAGAACTTGTTGCCACACGATTCCCAGCTCTGTAGGAGGTAGTTAGGAATAATCTGATGATAAGCATCTGAGCTCTTTCTCAGCTAATGTCAATTAAATTAGCCTGATTAAAAACCTCTATGAACCTGGCCCCTGAACTCCTGGATGTATATCTGGAGTTTGAGATTTGCCCATCATGTCCTGTTCTTATGTGAATTGACACATCTTAGAAAAGCTTACACTGAGAGGAGTGGAATTTGTTTTTAATAGCTTAAAGTGAGTGCTGCACATAAAAAATTACTAACCTCCAGGAATTTGTTTTCCTAAAATCAAGTCACTTTTTCCACTGTATTTCTTAGCTGACTTCTTAAATTAACATAGGCAACAGCAGGCATGATAGAACCAGAACATCTCAGTTTTGATATTCAGTTCCTTTGCATTTCCAATTAGAGACGTATATCACTGGCTTAAGGTAGGCACACTAAAGGCAAGCCTGTCTTGAGCCCACTTCCATTGATTTAAGTGGTGGTTTTAGAATGTGATTCTCTAATATCCATTGGACTAGAAAAGAATCAAGGCATGAATAATTGCTAGGTCCTCTGCTCCCAGAGTCACATGATGACCCTGGACTCTCACCCTGAATTAGAAAACTAGACAATATGTTTCTAGTCTCCACATGTAACAGGGATGCAGAGGTGCCTGAGACAGTATGTAGCCAAGGGCAGAATGAGCACCAGCCACTAGAAAGCCTATGGAATGAACCTTGCCCTTAGGCTTCATAGGACCCAGAGAGTGGTGGTCAATGGAAGCCAACTGTCTTAGTGCGCTGTGACCAGTGTAGTCCCCCAAGGCTCTGTCCTAGGGCCTATCCTATTTAACATCTTCATCAATGATGTCAACACTGGTGTCAGAAGCGGACTGGCCAAGTTTGCTGATGACACCAAACTCTGGGGTAAAGCATTCACACCTGAGGACAGGAGGGTGATCCAGGCGGATCTTGACAGGTTCAAGAAATGGGTGGATGAGAACCTGATGGTGTTCAACACCAAAAAATGCAAGGTTCTCCACGTTGGGAGGAAAAACCTGCAACATGCTTACGGGGTCGGCAGTTAGCACTACAGATGAAAGGGACTTGGGGGTCATGATTGACCACAAGATGAACATGAGCCTTCAGTGTGATGCTGCGGCTAGTAAAGCGAGCAAAACACTGGCTTGCATCCATAGGTGCTTCTCAAGTAAATCCCGGGATGTCATTCTCCCCTTGTACTCAGCCTTACTGAGGCCACAGCTGGAGTACTGCGTCCAGTTTTGGGCTCCGCAATTCAAAAAGGATGTGGAGAAGCTTGACAGGGTGCAGAGAAGAGCCACGCGCATGATAAGAGGTCAGGAAAACAGACCTTATGATGAGAGGCTGAGAGCAATGGGGCTCTTCAGCCTGGAAAAGCACAGGCTCAGGGGTGATCTGGTGGCCACCTATAAATTTATCAGGGGTGCTCATGAGGATCTGGGGGAATGTCTGTTCACCAGAGTGCCCCAAGGGATGAAAAGATCAAATGGTCACAAACTCTGCCACGACGGATTCAGGCTGGACATAAGAAAAAACTTCTTCACTGTCCAAGACCCTAAGATTTGGAATAGACTGCTGCCGGAGGCGGTTCAAGCACCCACTCTGAACGCCTTCAAAACACATTTGGATGCTTATCTTGCTGGGACCCTATGATCCCTGCTGACTTTCTCCCCTGGGGCAGCGGGCTGGACTCAATGATCCTCCGGGGTCCCTTCCAGCCCAAATGTCTATGAAATCTATGAAAAGAAATCTATGAAATTTACATAGAAATTGCTAATTACCTCTGTTTGTTAAAAGGGCTCCCACAGGTAATGTTCTCTTCCACTGTAGCATTCAATAGCCATGGCTTCTGTGCTGCATAAGCCACAGAGTATCTGTTTCGACTGAAAAAATGAGAGCACCAGTGAATGAGATCAGCCTGACACTTCTTAGAATTGAGTTAACAGTATGCATTAAAATGTAGGCAATGGAAAGGCACATAAAGCAACCATGATAAAAATAAGGGGAGAAGCTTTAAATGAGAAGGTTACAGCACCCTCTCTCCGCCTTGAGGTTAAAGGTTTTCATTCTAGGTTGTGTTACTTCCACACATGCTTTAAATGGGCTGTTACTTAGCCAGACTTGATATATGCAATTGGGGACCAAAAACACATTATAAATGTCTAAAACTACCATTCTGTCAATCCTGAACATAAATTTTAAAATACAGAAGCATATCAGCTTGGGTTCTTTTATTTTCTGCGGTCAAAATCATCTACTTATTAAACAACATTAAAAATTGAGATTATCAGTCCATTTGCCTTGCTGGCTTTCAGTGTTCATAGGTTATGTTAAACTGCTAAGTGCTTGCAATACATTTTTAGTAGAGCTCTTTCTCTTATATGTAATTCCATATTAACACCTCAATGGACTGACATGGTACAGTAAAGTAAGATAATTGTGTACTAATTTGGATAATAGCATTATGGTCTTTCAAGTAAGTATCATGCATACTTTGAAAGTACCTGCATGTACAACAATGTCTAAATCACACATGCATGACTGCTGTGCCCTTTACTCATGCTGTTTAGCTTATGCATTGCTGCCAATAAGATCATACAGTATCAAACATTTTTCTGAGACTTCTTCACTGCTTGAACAAGAAGGCGTGAATTACAGATGCACTGTTAGTCTGGAATCTAATTTCTCAATCTATGTTGCTTCAAATAAGATAATTTACATTATTTTTAATGTTTGAATCCTTTCTATGGGAAGTTTCCATGTTTTGTGAGACAGGGTGCTAAGGTATTGGAAACAGTGGTTAGAAGCATTCAGCATTATCCCATAACTTCTTGTGTTTAGGGATTTAGAAGGCACCAATATGTTAATATATCTCCTTAGATTGTCAGGTATCAGATAATGTAGTGGTTCCCAATTACAGTTATGTGCATACTACTGATGTAGTACTTTTGCCATTTTGTGAAAGGTATTTTTGGCTTCCTTACCTTCCTTCAAGACCTGTTTTTTCCCCACTGAAGTCAATGGCACAGTAAGTAACTGACTTCAACAAAAGCAAAATTAAGCTATCTTCCACATGCCATCACTATCCACCCTGCTTTCACTGTGTGTGCTCTAATACAGGAGTGAAACTAAAGATTTGGAACAGCATAAAATCCATTTTTGATTACAACAAATGGGAGAATGGAGGCATTACAGCCTGACATCCATAACCCAGATCCTCCAGGATGCTGGGTGCCCTAAGCTCTCAGCACTGCCAGTGGGAGTTGAGAACACTTAATAATATGGGGGAAAATGCTTTGCACTCCTCATGCTCAAGCTTTTAAACTGACAGAGAAGCAAAATCCCCTGTTCAGATTGGGAACCACTGCATTTAGTCAGATAGTCCTTTAGCAGGTGATTATCTACATGGTAAGAAGACAAAGATATGACTGAAGAATACAAAGATGGAGGTTCAGGCAGATTCTGAGGAAGCATATAAGTCAGATCAAATACACTGAAAATGGAAATAATACCTTCTGGGTGCTTCCAAAGAAGGTTCATTTTCATTTACACTGTAAGTTATGGTAAATGAAGTTTAGTATTCAGGAAATAGACAGCAACTTTATGTGTAAAATTCATCTATAGGGAAAATGGGTATGGTTCATATTTAAACATCTATATCCCTATATCAATTTGCCTTTTAAAGAGAAAATTGTGCAAGTATAATTATTGATATGTACAAAGAAATCGTGGCTCTGCTGTTTTTCGTTACCACATACCTGTACTGTCAGCAAACTGAACTAGCAAAGTTACAGTGCAGTTTGAAAATTACTTTAAAAATAACCAGGGCAGTTTAATACCTACTGAAGTAAGGTACCAGTAATACTTGAGCATATATAAGTTCGGCAGGCACTGTGCATGTTCTCCCACATAGTTCTGTCAATGTACTGTAGACTAATTTGAATTCTAACCCTGAGTTATGCCATATGATACTTTGAACAGGGTTCTGGGATATGCTTAAGTGGGTTCTGACTTGAAATCACTCAACTCATTTTCAATGGTCAACCAGGAAAGGTTTTCCATGCTGATCACTAGAAATAAAATGCTGTATCATCACCACCACGTAGCCCTGCCCCTCATCCCAAATTCATCAAGGAACATTTTTATACAACACATTTTCAATGGCATGCAATGGCAAGCATGATATATATAACATCATAGCTTTCTCTTTTTATTATCAGAGTTAACAGGATTGCTGTTATAGGATTCTAGTCAAAGGAAGCCTGGTGCTTGTTACCAAGAATGGTGATGCATCCCTGCAAGCTTCAATAGCTTGGAAACCTAAAAGAGGAAGGTTATGCTAGGTAAATGGAAACAGATATTAGGAGGGATAAAACCAGCATTATTTAATTCATTGAATAAAAAAAGCCCATGAGTGTATGGCATAGAAGTTGGATCTTCAGAATGAAATACTGTATGGCTGAGATCTGAATGTCAGCCTGTCTGCCAGGAGAGAATCATCAGTAGCTGCAGAAGATCCACCTGCAAAGGGTATAGACTTCTGACAGTAGAGCCCTGCTAATGCAAGATTCATATATTTAGCATTTTCCTAGAACTGGGATGTGCTGGATCTGCTCTTCCATATAAAGTAACTGATGGCTTCAATAATTCTTATCTTGAGAGGTGAGTAATGTTGTGTTTTGCTAAAACACCCCACTCTCTCCTTTTTTTTCATTTTCTTTGATGTATGAGCATCACAGATTCTACCTCAGGTAGGATATTGTTTAACCAGAATCAGCACTTTATTATCAGAAGCTTCCTATCTTTTTAACTATGGAAAGATATTCCAAAAGAGGAAGAGATGGAGGGATTTGAGATAGAAATGTGGTAGAAATTAGCCCAAGCTAAAGGGACAAAAAGTACTGAAGTTCCAAAGATTTCCATTTAAAAGGCTCTATTTGGATGCAGCATTTTATAAAACTGTGCCTAATAGGTTTATGCATTTAAATTTGTTTGTTTGCTTTTTACTTTTCACAGAAAAAAATATCTACATTTCTCCACAGTGGATTGTTCCCAGAAGACTTAAACTATGAAAAGCATTGGATTGATCAGATCAATCAGTTAATTTCTACATTTTGTACATTAGTTGTCAAGTGTACTCAAAATCAAGGTTTTTAGGGAAAGTCAAAAAGAGACTTAGATGAAAACTGGACTGCTTTCAATGTGTACAAGGCTGGAGCTTTACAGACACACTAACTTATCTCCAAGGACCTTGATACACATTGCACTTTGAGTCGTGTTAGTCCTCCCTCAAGTTTGGAGCAGCCACACCTTAAAATTAAAAACCTTCTCTGGCTGTCCCCAACCTGCACAGCTGTGACTTGCCACTAGAAGCCTGACTAGGAGCTCACTTGTTCCCCCTCTATCCCCATACACCCCACTCCTGGACCCATCCATGCTCTGCAACCTGGCTAGCTGGCATGTGCTCTGCAGGCTGTTTGTATGGGGTTGCACTCCTGGGGGTAGGAAGGTCACACCCCTGGGTGTGAGAGGGGGGGTTGGCTTAGTGCCAGAACTGCACCGTGGGTAGCAGAGTTCAGGGGATGGAAAGTTTGTCCACACATAACCAGAGGGTGGGGGAACGGACATTGCATCCTGGCTCATCTGTAGGGAGTGGCCACACATTAATGGAACAGGAGCTGGGTAACAGAGATCAGAGATAAACCTGCCCTGGAGTGGCATAACTTTAAGCTGCCTAAAGTGTGCTTCAGACTAGTTTTAGGTGTTAATGTGTGGACAATCCAGGAGTTAAGAGCTCCAGGAGCCACCTAAAATTAATGTGTAACAAGGCCCTAATTCTAACCACTTATTCCTCCTACTATAAAATGAATGCAGAGGACAAATCAAGACCAAATCTCTCAATTCCAGCTAAATTGTGAGTTTGAGCATTTTCCTTCTAATGTGCAGGGCCCTTAGGCCAAAGACATTCCAGGAATCAGTGAGGATCTCAGCCAGTCTCCTCACCCAGCCATCTCAGTGTGCACAGTTTTTGTAATTATGTGACATTGGCTCCTGGCCTTGGCTAGCTACCTATTTATATATGTTTACCACACACCAGTGTGTTATCTAAATTTCTGTGGGAGCAACACTGTGTTATGTAGCTGTACATATTCATAATTACAGCTGGTAGTGCTCCACCTATGACGTGTGTTTCCAGCCAGAAAGTATAGCAGCAGTTGACACTACCTAGTAACACTAGGTTTCCGTCATCTCCAGCAGTCTGAATGTGATGAAAACATGTTAGTAATGAAGTTAATCCATACATTAACAGCTTGTTTTAGTGAAGGCCTCATATAGGAAAATATACTGCAACTCCTTTCTCTAAGGAAGAATTTCATCCCTGGCAACTTCTCACTAATCGGAATTGTACAAGTTTATCCTATGGCAGATTTAGGCCCCAAAAGGGCAAAATTATCCCCTTCCTGTACCAGCATAAAGCTAAATGAATTACTGCAGATGTACACCAGTGTAACTGAGGACCAAAACTGGACCAATAATACTTTACCTACATTACTATGTCTGACACTGCTGGGGATTTTACCCTGCCTAAATCTAATCCCCTTGTCCACCACTTGATCAGCAAATATATTATCTCATGCATGCAGAATCACATGGAAAGGGAATTAAGAAAGTAATTAGAACCTTTATTATGACTTTGCAAAATACAGCAACAGGATTCATTTAATTAATACCTGAGATGTCCTTCTGCATTCACCTCTCTTTCAGGCAGTCTGAAATTATCAGCAAAACAACTGTGTTTGTGTCAGCTTTACCAAAGTATTGAGTGCAATGTACAAAGTGGTGAGTCAGTAAGGCCTTAGATAGTTCATAATGGCTGAGTTACATATTTTGTTATGTGTCAACTGTAAGTCCACAAAGAGAATAGTTTTAATGTTACTCCTAAAAGCTGTGAGGATTGAATATTGCTATTCAGAGTATCATGGAAAATATATTTTACAAGCAACCAGAGTGACAAATGTTTGAAAGTCACTGATCACATAATGTTCTCATGTACCCTTTGGCAAAACATGTTTGTGATTTTTCATCCTTCTTTATTGCTGTTTCAACAATTACAGTTCTTTGAGATACTCACAATTTAAAGGGCCCAAGACACAAGCTGAATATACGCAACTTAAACCAAAGCCAGTGCAAGTGCCCCAAAAAAGAAATATCAGCTGCTTTAAATTTGCTAGGGGTAGTTTTGGGGAAGCATTATTATAGAACCTTTTTTGATACTGGTAAGAATTACTACTCTTAGGGTGCATCTACAGGTTGCCCTATGGCGATGTTGTTACTGCACCATGCTTCAGTACTTCCTTTTGAAAGTATTAAAGCATGGCGCAGTAACTGCCCATACTGTGCCATATGCACAGCATACAATTATTTTTAGCAGCTGCTTCACCGTAGTGGTGCGCTATAATGGGGGATTATTAGTGCTGCTATGGCAAAGTAGCTGCTGGTTACATGTAGACACCTGTGGATGCTATGTCATACTAGCATCACGTGTAGATGCACCATTACAGTATGATTTCACTTTGCTGTCTGGAGATTCGTGTGTGCTTGAATGTTTGTAAGATTAATTTTCTGAAGATAATTATTGAAACTAAGTACGGAAAGCCTTCTCTTTATATATTGATCCTTCAAAATATGTACGGAAAGGAATGACTTATCTCAAAGTCAATATCTGGTTTAAATAGTGTAATTAATTGTGATAAGCATTATTACTTTAGGTCAATGTATTACTGTTTACACCCAATTCTCTATTCAGACCTACTAAAGTTACTGTTGCATCGGCTCCAAGTTTACCTATGGTCCCAACGAGATTATTTGTTTTAGAATAGCACCCAGTGAAACATGGCTGGGGAACACAAAATTGCCACATACACTGTACACAATAAAGACAGGAAAAGGAAAATCATTAAACTTTAAAAACTGCTGCAAAGAAAAAGGGGAAAATAGATAAATATCTGAAGAATTGGGCATACCATTTGGAACAGTGTGATGAAATTCATCAACCTTCACTACACAAAATTCAAAGAGATGAGCTGGGAGTCTTAGACTCAGGCAAACAGAATCAATCTCCCAGATCACAGAGCAAGTATTAGGATTGCAGCACATTCCCAGCCCTGCCCTCGCCTCCTTCGCCTACTACAGCTGCTGTTCCAAGCTGTGGCTGGAATATAGTGCTGCTCAACTGAACCCCCCAGTACAAGGGTTCTCATTTATTAGATCTGCATATGTGTGGATCCAATGGCCACCACCCATGGGCACCACTGTCTTCAACCATAGCACCACTGCTGCACTGAGCATAAGCAGGCCTCATCCGACTTCCACAGATGTCAACATTAAATATTTGACAGACTTCAACAGGTACAGGCTTGGGTCATTTTCAGTCCAACCTCTCACTGGGCTTTTCTTTATTAGCAGCACCATCTTTAAACTGGAAAGAGGATTTTTCATTTATACTGGTACCTGACACGTGTCACACTACAAATTAACATTGCTGAAACTTTGATGTGTCCTCTCTTTATTGTTACCCACAGCACAATCATGTAAAACAATGCTGGTCAGCCTAATTACAATTAGACAAGAATCCAAAACTAGCATGCAGTTTTGTCCTTTATATTTGTTAAATATTCTATTTATTTTCTCTATTTTTATAGGGGATGGAGGAATTTCACAACCATTTTCACAGGCTTCAATAACATAGCAGTATAGGGTTTGCAACACATCATATGAGTATAATGGTCACAGAAGGAATGCTCAAGGAATAAAGAATACATGCATGTTGTAAAATGGTGGCTCTCCTAAAGACAATGGCAAAAATCCCATCATGGAACCACTGTTTCATCCCTGATGCTTTAAACTGTGCCTCATAACACATATTTGACACGTAGATGGGTATATCTTTCCAATTCAGGTCATAAACTAAGATTGGTATGCTGGAGACTGACCACTCAGCTGGTTTCAACTGTTTTTAGATTCCCTTACAGTTCTTTCCTCAACAATCTCACTATTACATCTCCTACCCTGCCACAAAGAAAATATTATCAGCTGCAACACAAAGGATCTGAGGTAAATGTGCTGGTGACACTTTATAGGGAATATTTTGGCAGGTGGAACCAGATGATGAGCCAACACATTTTGCACTGTTCATTATGAAGCCCCATTCAGGTCATCTTAGAATAGAACAGTTAGAAGCTGTGGAAAACATACTTGCTCCAGTGAACTTTTCCCTCCAGAGTCTGCATCTCTCCAAGTATAGCAAGGAGAAGTGAAGATTTGCCACAGCCCACCTGACCCACAATCATTGTCATCTGACCTGTAATGATAAAAGAAATAATAATTAATACATAATGAAAATGAAAACCAGAAAAGATTACCAAATGATCAAGGCCTAATTCACTAAGCATTTAAAAAACATGGTTATACTTGTTGCTACCCAATATGCTTTTGTGAATATGAAGTTCTACATGTTTCCAGTTAATTTTTAAGGAATGGATACAGGCATACAGTATCTTCCATAAGGTGAATATATTTTTATGTTATATGCTGTATGTGTGTTAATGACATGTAGTATGACATAATTCCCCTGCATATTCCTATTCTTGCAGTGCAGGAATGTCTAACTTTAAAAGTCACATGTGGCTGCATTTTGGGGGTTGTTTGCAGTTACTTAGGCTGAAGTTACCCATTACTATTTCGACAATACTAATAGCACTTAAAATATGAGCATCTGCATGTTAAAGCCTGTTAATTCATGAAATGCCCTCTGAGGGCGCATCCAGACGAGCATGCACATGTGTCTTGCAGCATCTCAAACCCCTTTGAGACACTGCAAGACACACATGTGGGAACAAAAAAAATGTTCCCTGTGCTGAATATTTGCAGCCTGGAGACAAAATTAGACCCCTGGATATCCAGGGATTAAAAAAAAATGCACCGTGGAACAGCAGGGCAAGGCACTGGTCAGGACTGTGCCTGGAGGCAACCCAGGCATCACTCCTCCAAGAGAGATGCTCTGATTTCTCGACAGAGTGTCTCTGTGGTGCTTCTGTTGCCCCCAGTGCTGTCAAGGGTAAGTTAGGGACATGGGTTGGGAGGGCGTTATGGGTAGGGGTGGGCATGGATGGGTGTGAGGAGTAGCAGGAGGATGTCAGGGGCCATGGGGAATGGCGGAGGGATGTCAGGGGGTGTCAGGAGTGGAGGGAGTTTTCAGGGGCTATGGACAGTGGCAGGGGGATGTTGGAGAGCGGAGGGGGATGTCAGGGGGGGTGTCAAGAGTGGAGGGGGTTGGTGGACACCATGGGGAGTGGAGGAGAATGTCAGGGGGTGTGGGGAGCAGTGGGGGGGATGTGCCATATGTGGATGGGTTCGTGGAGGGGCTGGAGCAGGGGCTGACACACACCTGCCCCTCCACCTGGCTCCTGCAGCTCTGGTTGGCAGGATGCATTTTCCATGAGGCTCAGGTGTGCCTGAGCCTCCTGGAAAAACATGCCCCACTGGCCCGACACAGTCTGCTCCAGCCCGGGCCAGGCTGTGCAGCTAGCGTATGTTTGCACAGGAGCTGCACCTCCTGCAGCCATGCGTCCCGCTCCAGTGCAAAGCCGGGCTAGTGAGCCGCACCAGGTCAGGTCCTGCACAGCCACCAGACGCAGGACCTGGCGCAGCATGCAGGGACAGCACACTGAGCAAAGCCATGTCCTGCCAGTACTGGGGTGTCTCACACTGCCAGGCAAGGCTGATTCCATGGCAGCAGGACCCAGTGCGGGATGCGGTCCACGTGATTGGTGCTGGCCCCCAGGTGATGCTGGCAAATGACGCCGGTCCCCAACCAGTGGCACACAGGAAGTACTGGCTCTGAGCTGCTTGGGGCTGCACTGTGGGAGGGCTGGCAGCAGCAGGCTCTGAGCACCCCTCTCCTGCTGCTGTTGGAGGGGGACAATTGTGGGCCCTGTGCGGGGAGGCTGTGGCCCTGCACAGTGCCTGGGATCCTGCCGGGGGGGCTGTTGCCCTACAGGGGGGAGCTGGGGCCCTGCAGGGGGTGCAGTCCATGTGCTGTGTGGGGGGGCTGTATCCTGTGGGGGCCAAGGGACCCACCCCTCCTGAGCAGCCCCCCCCCACTAGGGCC